GGATGAGGAAAAGATTACTTGATGTTGCTTGTATATAGTTATTTTCAGTATGAAAATTAATTTTAGAATATTTTGTGGAGATAATCACTTTCAAGTGATTCTCTTTGAATATGTGTTTGCTGGTTTTTTGAGTTGCTTAAATACTTCCAAAAAGGAAGCAAGCTTGGAGGAAGGAAGGAAGCTTGCTGGTAGAAAAATTCTCACTTAGAAAGCAGTTATTGCTTAAGTAATCAAAATTACTTGAGGGTAGTTACAACTTTTAGATCAGCTTTAAGTACTACCTGGCTTGTTATGAAACCTCAAATGGTAGCTGGTATGCACAGCATTGCTTGTATGTACAGTTTCCTTGCTCTGTCTACCGAAGCTATGTGGATTCTGTGTGAGAGGTTACCGCTTGAAGCTGTAAACTTAGCTCTCATGGTTTGGTTGGGTGTTTGTGTTTTGTTTTGGGTTGGTTTGTTTTTTGTTTTTTTTTTTTTTTGAGGGACTTCTGAAAATCCATGTGCCAACACCCTTTAACTAATAACTGTTGTTATTGATGTGGAAATGAGCCTTACTAATCTTAAAACCTTCCTATGGTGATCCTGGTGTTATCTGTGCTCTCTGACTTGGAAGATGACTTTGGGAAAATTAAGTTTTGGCTGTAGTCTCTTAAACTGAAGCTGTCGTTTGAAGGTCACTTGGGGACTACTGGAATAACTGTTCTCACATTCCAAAGTGAAGAGGTGATGATTCATCATGTGATATATACCTGTGTTAATTTTGGCATTGTTGTCTTCTTTATTTGAAATAAGATTAAAATCGCAGGTAAGGATTTTTCCGTTGTTGCCCAGAATAAATAATGATATCCCTTTTGCATGAAAGGCTGATGTGTCCTTAAAAACTGTTCTTCACAGGTTAGTCATGTTCATTCCAAAAAAAAAAAAAAAAAATTGTTGCCGCTGTATGTAAAGATTCAGGCCTAAATGGTTAGTACTTTCCTTTCAAGATGGTAGCAGGATGTGAAAAAATAATAGAAATCTCATGTGATCTAGAGATTAAATAAAGTGATCTCACAGCATGAGTTTCACATGTCTGTCTTTGCTGAAGTATTCTCTGTATTTTCACAGGTATTTATTCTTCTTTAAGATAACTTACCTTTTGCGAGGTCAGGACTATCACCAGTTGTAGATCTAAACTTATCATGTTGGTTTTACTGTGTAATGTTTCGACAGACTTTGATCTCTAGCTGCTTTGGCAGACTTAACTATGAAAATAAATTGACAAACTTCTAATGTCAGTATTTCTGTCTCACCTGCCCTCACTCACTTAACTTGCGTGTTTTTCCCCTCACTTTATATTGTACCTGACTGGATTTAGCTAAGAGAAACTTTTGCTTAGTGACCCACAGCAACTACATAGTTGGATAAAACAATTTGCCTTATTGGTGGGTGGTAGGGATTTGGTGGTAGGGGAGGTCACTGAGTGTTGTGTTGTTGTTTGTTTGGTCTAAGCTCTAAACTGGCCAGCTTATTCAACCTTATTTCAGCATTGGGTTTAACTTCCATGTCAGGTTCCTAATAAAAAGCACCAGCATGTAAAAGGAAGCTTGTGTTTTTTTTTTTTTTTTTTTTCTTCCAGCTGTACTGCCTGATTGAAAGTACTTGTTGGAGTTTTCTCTTGTCTAAACTTGTAACTTGGTCTGACTTAAGATTTGGTAGTGAACAGTTGGCATTTAGCAGCAGTTCTTTCGAATGAGGGCATGAACTTTGAAACTTTGATACAACTTGCATCCAGGGTTTCTGCAACTTTCAAGTTTTTATTTACTCAGAGTAGTAAACATGATCCTCAATAGAAAACCCTTCTTCGTTACTCAGAAGGTGAAGTGTGACTGCTTGTTCCATTAGTTATTAGCTCCTGCTGTACCTTCTTTGTACCTTTCATCTAGGCAAGATGGATGAAAGTGTTTAGTGTAATGCTGGTTCTTAACTAGAACTAAATTTCATTTAAGAATCAAACTTGTAAAAGCCAGGGAGACTAAGCTGTTTTAACAGTGGCACACCTTAGAAGGGACTGTCAGTAGCCCCTTTGTGGGTTCAGAAGTAGGTGGCTTCAATCTTGTGACTGAATGGATCAGCAGGGTGAGATACATGAGAACAGTCTAAAAGCAGAGGGATGCTGAACTGTGGTTTGTAATTAGGAAGCTACAGTCACAACTATTTGTTTCCTTACTGTATGCAAGTGGGCTTTTTTGGCTAATCTTCGACTGTAGGTGTTGGAGTATGATTCTGAATTTTCTTGACCCTTCAGGAGTTAAGTTCAGTGAAACAATACTGTAAACTGGAAGAATTTTCTGCTCCTTTAAAATAGACAGTAAATTTTGCAGAGTGCATAGTAGTATAGAATTGGGCTTCAGTTTCTCATAGGTAAATCAGATCCACACGGAACAACTCAGTGTTGTAGTCAGGCTCTGTTTAGAAAACAGCTGAAGTGTGGAGATGGCATTAATAATTTAAAAATATGAAGTCATCTTATTTTGATTTCTTATGCCAAAACTTATACAGCAGTGATGCTTCTTTAGCAGAAGAAATGATCCATAATTCTTTGTCATTTACTTCTGTTGGTGTTTTTTTTTTTTTTTTTTTACATTTTAAATGTTGGCTTTTATGTACCTGCAGGTGAGTCACAAAGTATGGCTCAGGTTAATCAGACCAAAAAAAAACCTTAATTTTAACACTAATAGTTTTTGAATAGCTTTGTGGATTTATTGTTTATTCTGAAATAAGTAATTGCCGAAAGGAAAACAGTTAATTCGGTAATGATGCAATACTTGGAATAATGGGTATGTCTAATAAGTTAATGTGGCACCAGTCATGATACTAAATGCTTTTTCAATGAGGAAAAATGCTATATTGAAAGTTCTTTAACTTTTTTTTCTTCTGCCTTTCTATGTCTGCTACACTTTCTTCAGCCTGAAAGCTGCATCTGCTGCTGTTCAGCAGTTTTTGGCAATTAGCAGGAAAGTGGAGCTGCTGCTTTTTTCTGCCTTCATAGTTAACTTTAGGGTTCTCGGGAGATTCAGATCTTCCTGCAGCTCCTTTTTCAACTTAAGTAACTTAATGAATAACAAATAACAAATTAAGGTGTACGTTTGATATTTCACAAGCTTCTAGTAGCAAGCAGTCTGTATGCTAAATGTTTAGAGTAAGTAAAGGCGCTGAAACAGTTTCCTAATTACCAGTTTCACTCAGTGCATAAGACCTAAACCAACAGAGAATACTCCTCTGACCTAGGTCTCGTTCGTCAAGTTATTCAAATTTGTGAAACAAATGGGGATTTGAAAAAGTAGAAAGGCATGGGTGGGTGAGAACTTAGTCTTCGGATACTAGAAGACATTACATATGTAGTAAGTGGAAATCAATTGGTTTAGTTCTTACTGTACACACTGTACACTTGTTATTAAATTATCTAAACATGTCTTTCATTTAAAACTGTCTAATGACTTTCATTTCCAGCATAGTGAGGGTACTTTAAAGTAATATTGGAAAAAATAGTAAAGGTTTTCTTAATTCTGGACTCCATATGAATAAAGTTTGATATTAAAAAAAGTTCTTTTAGCAGAAAAGTATCTGTGGGGACAAGTACAAATGCATACTAACCTAATTGTCGAGTTGTTGTATCAGCTGTGTTTTTAGTTTAAAATATTATATTTCAAATTTTGGTAGGTTTTGAATAATGAAAATGGATGACACTTAAGTGAAGTATGGATGCAAATAAAGGTTCTGTGAAGTGATTCTAATGACTTTCTTCAGGCCATATTGAAACAAGTACATGTTGGTGACCCCTACAATAAGTCTACTGTAAAGCTCTGAGATCAGGTTTCTTCTACCTGTAGATGTCTAAGTCTTGTGAAAAGAAACTGTCATGACGCTATAGTACTCAGCTTGATTTGTAAAAACTAATGGCTTAGGATTGTTAACGCCTAAGGGATGGGGTTCCAGCTTGTTATTGATATGATAGTGATTGATGGTATCTATTCTAATCTGAGTGATCTCTGAAATTTCCACCTTGCATCTTTCTGTCACTTTATAAAACAAACTACATGCAAACAAAAACAGGGAATATTTAGTGTCATTTTAAGTTGCCTTTCTTCTCTTCCCTCTCCTAATAGTAAATGCTGCTCATAAATTTTGCTTTCAGAGGGAAACTGTGGAATTTGTTTGAACTTTGTAGTGAATTACCTTTCATTTTAGTATGCGTGTAATTGAAGTTGTCTAATTTTATTTTTAAACATCAGATTCTGACCTCTAACAATAAAAATGGAAAACATTCTTTTATAGGGATTCAGCCCAGAATAGCAGTGTCAAAAGAAGATTTGTCAGGTCAGTGAAGATGCAACTGCTGAAGCAGGATTTCTATAGAAGTCTCATTTTGGATCTTATTTAATGAAGCTAGAAATTCTAGGTTTAGAGCCTAGCCACAAGAACAGTTTTAAGTCTGCTATTAGAAAATGACAGCTGTTTACTAGTATGCCTAGTTTATAAAGAAGGTTACATGCCTTTAGTAATTTTGGGCTGCATTATGAACGCAAGTTGAGAAATCCAGAGAAAACTTTCCAGCTTCAAAGCACCTGGAAAGGCGACTGCCCTGTAATGCTTCAGCTTTTCAAAACTGTCTTGTGGAATTCTCAAGCTGAGAATAAGTGAGCGCTGCTGTAGTATAGAAATAAAGAATACCATGTGTTGGAAGATTTTTGAGGAGTTGCAAATTCTCTTGCAAGGCTTTGAAGAAGAATTAGATAATGCTTTTTCTGTGGTACTCGATGATTCTTGATATAAGAGTATGTTGCTTCATGATTTTTGAGTGTACATTAAATCACTCTTGTCAATGAAATGCTTGGTTTTGTGGTGAATCGTTCTGAACCTTACATAAGGGTTTTCAGTGTCTATGAATTTGACTACAGTTGCTATATTTCACTTCCAAAGAGTAGTAAATTTCAGATTTTAAAACCCTATGAACCACAGTGTCCTGTTATGTTCTAACTGATAACCTCCCACAACAGCAAACCAGTAAAGTTTGTTTCTATATCTGACACAAAAACCTTAAACTGATGCATTTCTTAAACTTGTAACTAAAGAGGCTTTGAACTACATTGGTTTGCTCAAATAGACGTTGGGTTTTGTTGTACCAGTGAGTAAAATGGAAAGAATATGCAACCTCTGTTTTTCTAGAGAGTCAGAAGGTACTAACCTTTTCTTTAAATGGGGGAGGGGGAAGAAACACTGTATATCTGCTAAATTGTCAAAGAGCTAGTACAAATTTGAATTTGACAGTGATCTTAGAACTGTTTCATTTGTTTAAGCTATTACTCTTATGTCTCTCTCTTACAGGAATTCTGTGCAGCATGTTTTCTGGGTGGAACTGGGTAGCCCATGGCTTATATCTATTCTTGAATATTTGTTCTCTTGAAGGTAAGACTTCTGCCCCTCAAACATAAGAGGCTTGTAGAATGGTAAGAAAATGAAACGTTAATTTGTATTACTCCATTGTGTTTCCATTCGTAAGTGGTTTTTGTGCAGAGATAGTGAAGCTGACTTCCTTCGGTAGAAGACTGCATTGGTTCCACTGGCATCACTAGTGTTAGTCACTCTAACAGACTAAAGTGCTAAAGTGGTGAGCTTGGTCCTGTACAGGGACTCCTCTTTTTTAAAATAAAAAAAAAAGTACACTTGAAATGATATCATGTGATTAACTTTGCATATGCCAAATGGTATCTAAATGAAAGCCTGTCTTGGTCAAACTAAACAGCAGTAAACTACTAATAAGCTCGTGTTGTAGGCTCTGTAATCAGATTTGGGCTGCTTTTATTCTGTAGCAAATGATCATCCTAAAGATGCTTAGTATGGCCATTGATTCAAGTCAGTATCTCAGTCAGTTGACCATTCATCTTTAAATCTCGGAACTGACTTTTTATATACATATATATATATATATATATATGCAGCTGTGAAATAACTAAATATTTCATTTCCTGCTTAGACACATGATGTAGGACTTTTAATATGAAAGTAATATTGTACCAGAGTATTGATTATGGAATCCTTTCTATTCAAAGGAAAGGGGAGGGGGCAAAAACAACGACAAACCTCACCAAAACTGATGCCATTCTTCTTTAGTTTCAGGTGGACTTGTACAGTCATGTGGCCACATCATTCCAGAATCTCCTGTGTTGGCCCTTGGTTCCAATTTCACTGCACTATGCATTCTGAATGAGAGTTGTCTTGACTTTGGCAATATATATGCTAGTCAAATTATCTGGAAAATTAAAAATAGACTGGTACCTAAAGAACAATACCATGAAATAAACAGAACTGTTTCCAGTGTCACGTTTAATGACACTTCTTCACTTGCTACTCCTCTGACATGCAACATTTTAGCAGATGGACAGATTGAGCAGAACATTTATGGAATTGCAGTTACATTAGGCTGTAAGTACCTCTTTCCTTGCCCTTTATTTTGGTTTGAAACACTAGCTTCTACGAAAAATCACTTTTGACAAAGAATGCAAATAATAAAAGGTTTACACATTGAGACATTTATTTCTACTCCTTGAATCTCAGTCCCCCAATAAAGTGCATTAAACGCTATCAAACTACATGCAACCAAAGCTGGTAAATATGCACAGAATATATTTTTTCTAAAAAACAGTGGCATATTTCATACATGGAAAAAGGTTGTAGCAAGAAGACTAAATTCTGAAAGGAAAATGCAGGCTTAACTGAAAGAGATCCAAGGAGAGAAGCCACATTTTCCTCAGTTCTTGCTGGTATTCAAAGAAATAAGGTAAGATCATACATCCTTCTTCTGCAATAACCCTATAAACTTAATGTTTCCTTCCTCAAAGGACTGAGAAGGATATCCAGTCCGTCTGTAATACCAAATCAAAACTGAGCTGCCTTAAAAATAGAACACGCTATTTGGATTGCTCTACCATTATACTTAAGAAAATACTTCTAACTAATTTTAAACTTTTCCCGTTCAACCGCTACATCATTTGCATGGTTCTGAGCAATTACTGTTTATGTTTGAGACAAGATGGAGATATTGAGAAAGTAATGTGAATGAATTCATATTCTACTGGTGATTGAGTTGGTAACAGTGTATAAAATGACAGATAAAAGTATATTCATGAGCGTCCTTTGTAGGGTATGAACTACTAATGAATTATATAGCCTCCTAATGCTGGCAAAATGTATTACAGCTATCACATGTTCTGTATACAAAAGGCCACCTTGAATTCACAATTTAAGCTAATGGAGTTCAACCATGAAAAAGAAGAATTCATTTTTCTGTTCCAAGTTCTGTTGAGTAAACTTCTGAACAGAAAAAAGGGACAGACAAAATATATGAAAAGTTGAGGACAGGTGAATTAAAACTGTAGAATATTAGCAGTACTGTCATTCAATTTAAGATATTCTACATATGCATCTCATGAGGTGCACTTGTATTTAAAGCTGCTTTATTTTCATTCTGTCAACTGAGGAAAAATACTCTAAACAATGACAGTAGTTTTGAAAAGAACATGGTTATTCAGAATCAAAACTAAAAGTATTTTCGTAAGTCAAAAGTTCTATTTAAAATGAGTTATCACTCATTTTCAAGTGTATTACGCTAAGTATTCTAAAAGCTGCAAACAAACTCAATATTATCTTTATGTGTTAAAATTTGAATTTAAGAAGCAAAGGAAATTCAGCTGCTCTCTGAAAAACATCATCTTAAGCAATAAAGTCTGTTGCTGAGGATCACTTATCTTTTTTGTAACTTTAGGGGAGGGGGCAGGGGGATTAAAGGATCTGCCCTCCATAGCTGGGGGAAAGAATAGACCTGTCACACTTGCCTCAGAGCTCAGTTTATTAGTAGAGCCAGTATATGCAAATGCACGTTACCGATTAACTTTTTTCCTATGTAATGAAAATAGTTTTAGTATTCTATAGAATAGAAAGGGTTCATATCTCTTTCTGCCTCAAAGAATGAGAAATCTTTCATGCTGTTCCTTACTGTCAGCTGCTTGTTCCCTATATTGCCTTCTGTTTTTCAGAACACCTGATTAACTCCTTGACTTCAATCACTAGGTGGTCTGTAGTGCTTTTTACTCCTCCTTTTTAAAAAAAAAAAAAAAAAAAAACCTGTAAAATATGTACATATGTGTATGTGTATATTTAATATCTATTTATATAGATAGATGTAGAGCTGTAAATATTTCTGATGTTCACTGAAATTACTCTAATAAGTCACTTAGTGTGACTTTCACTAGATTAAGATGTGTGTATGGACTATCTTTATCTTTTATGTGTGTTTATGGACTGTCTTTACTAACTTTTTACATACAGTGCCCCCAGAGAAGCCCAAAAACTTAAGTTGCATTGTGCACCAGGTGTCAAAACTTACATATCCTATGACTTGTACCTGGAACCCTGGAAGGCATACATTCCTGGACACTCATTTTAGGTTGAAATACAGATGGTAAGTAGCTCCTTAAAGTGTATCTGAATCATTTTGAAGAATGTTTGTAGGCTGTATCAAACTCTCTGACATTTATTGATGCTTAGAAAAATCCAGTTTTCTGAAGCATTGCTGCCTGTCTTTGGGGGCAAGAGAGAGTGTTAAATAAGTTCACATTCGAAGTACTTAAAAGTCAGAAATCAAATTTTGTTGCTGCATTTGTTTTAGTAACGCTACTTCATATTTTTCCATTTCTCAAATACATGATTAGCATGACTTGAGTACAGTAGACACACACTCATTAGGTGACTGGACCCAGATTACCTAATTTTACCTATTTGTAGTGACTGTTCTATCCCATACTAAACAAATAAAGAAACCAAAGTATAGGACTGTATCCTGTAGAGGTATTGTCTACTTTGTGCTCATTAAAAACTTAGAATCGTGTTTGAGGAGCATGTTCTTGTACTGCTTAAATCTAATCCTAACACAAAAGCTTCGGCAAAGAGTGGAGCCTTCCCCATGCGAAGGCAAATATTTCTTTCAAACCCTTCAAATGGTCTATTGTCATTTGAGATGGAGTGGATAGAATTGCTGTTGCCCTCTGGAGGGAGAGTGAAGTAGAAAGTTGTAGGCAGTCATTTCTCTTCCTCTCAAGTATTTCAATAGCATAGGAGTATAGTAGAAACTATGAATAGATGGAAAACATTAATGCTAAGCAAGTTTCAATTTAATGCCTTTAAAACTATATCCATTCAGCAGAAGATGATAAAAATAATATGTAGTAGATGTAACACTGTACTCTGAGGAGGGTATGCTGATTGGAGGAAAAAAAAAAAACTAGCTACCTCTTTGAATGCATGACTGTGCTTTAAAGTTACAGTTACTAGCCATATTGCTTATGCTTAAATGTACCAGTTCTTGACTTTTTTTTAAGCTGGTGGGGTTTTATACTGCTTCATAATTACAGTAGTTTGGCTAGCCTTTTTAAGGTATGAGACTTGGAATCAAGAGATTGCATTCCAGTTTCTATTCTAATGCAGCCTTGCATTTATGACTGAGGAAGCAGCTCTGATCTCTTCAACTCTTTC